CAGGGTGTGTGCAGACATCGCTCGTAACTGGATCCTTCATCACCACAACGCGCCATGCCACACCGCTCACAGCGTGTTCCAGTATTTAGTCCCTAAAGGGATTACCGTGTTGTAACAACCGCTTTATTCGCCTGATATGTCCCCCTGTGACCTGTTTTTTGTTCCCTAGAACAAAATAGGTGGTCAAATGTACCCATTTTGAATCAAATGTGAACATCCAGGTGGCCATGACTGGGGTACTCGCGGACATCACAGTCGAAGCGTTCCAGAAATGTTACGAAGTATGGTAAACGCACTGGAATCGTTGTATAGCTGCTCAAGTGGACTACTTGGGAGAAGTTGGCAGAGTTGTAGAATAATTTTGAAATATACGGTTTTTATGGAATCAGTCTCATTACTTAATTGTCACACCCCGTAAATCTAAATATTCAATAGTGAAGTAATTAATATTTATTTTGAAAGACATCTGTTTGCTACTGCTCAGACTGCTCAAAAACTATTTTTAAAAGAAAAGGCGCCTGTAGTGCTCTCGTTTTCGTATATAGAAGCTTCGTTCGTCTTATGAGACTTTTTCTTCCTTATTTTTCATTTGTATCTGTCGAAGATACAACTTAGCCATTGGTTCGTGAACCTGAGAGAGTAACAACTGGTTCGTCATCATCCGTAATTATTGGAAGATCATAATCTTCTTTCGTGAAACGAGATTTTTGAAACAGTTAAAAATCGTTAGGTGTGTTACAGATTGCCATGCCCTATCCACCATTGAAATAGCCCTTAAGAAACGTTCGCTGTTAATAATTTCTTTGCGATAGAACATTTAAAAACTATAACAGACCCCTTGTTAGTTCATAATTTTTGACGTTCTATCCCAAAGATAGAAGGAGGAGAATTTGTATTTGGCGGAGCGAAGTAAAGTTCTACGTTGAACAATGTAAGAAGACTGTTGTGACCAGTGTAATTGTCTAAAGAGATTAAAATTTTTTAGTACATGGTTTTATGTTTCCATTACCGTTAAAAAAAAAATTAAAGATTCCGTATGCATCCAAAATTTTCTTCTTAGCAAGGTAATCGGTAGGAAACGTTTTCACCACTTTGAAAGTTTGCGGTTTCATTGCTTTTTCAATTACTAAGGGCTCTCTTTTGGAAATTTGTAGGTCACTTTTCACGTACTGGGAATTGATTATAAGAGATTTAACTTTTTATTGTGGATTTAACATCGATTAGTTAGAATTAATTAATTAGAATTAACGTGCCGGTTTTCACGAAGCGATGATTTCTTCACTCGAATTAGCAAATGTTGAGAAGTTTTATAGGAATCTCATATTGACTTTGAACTATAGAGAGGTTCGAATTATCATAGGTTTGAATTAACGAGAGTCGACTGTATTGCATTTAAAGTAAAGAATTTCTTTAGTAATTATTCAAAATCCAATTAACAAAAACCAAAATAGTTAATTTATTTTATTCTTCATAAATTTGAGAATAAATTTTTTTTTTCGCAAATATTTATTGTTATAAATACATTTATTAATATATTTTAAAGAACTTCAGCAAGTCTAACTAATCCTGCATATACAATCAGTCAATTAACGCCCGAAAGTATAGAGGATTCCAACACAACACACTAACAAAGCTGTTAAGAAAATAGCGGCTAAATTAGCGCACTTAATAGTTGTTGGTTAATAACGAATTGAATAATACAACAACAGATTATATGGCTGATGTTGGCGCAGTGGTAGAACACTCGCCTGTTAAGTCAGGATCCGTTGGTCCGATCCCTGCCATAAAATGTGGTGATCTCCGAAACAGCTGTCACTTCTACCATTTTTCTTTGTTGTATAACAAATATTCAATTCATACAAACAACAAGGCCTCTTAGTTTTAATTTTCTAACTTGTTTACTTAAACACAAGAAATAACATGAAATACTAGCTTATTTAAAATGGTATGAATATAAGTATTTATGTATTATATACTCGTATTTATTACGAATTTTGATAAACGTTCGAAAATATACGAAATACAATTTCCAAATTTTATTGCATAATTGTCAGCTAATTAAAAAATAATCAAATATTCCATACGAATTGAGTGTAAACTCACACAAAACGAACACATAAGAAACTCATAAACTATCAAATTATCCAAATAAGCATTTTTAATCGTTTTAATTAAAATGATTTCAGTGTGCGAGAGCAGCGATTTAATTCATCGCCCACAAGCGTTTACATGTATGTACAATACGTAGTATTATTAAGTGACGGTTTGTTGTATACAATATTTTGCTAAATCGAATAAAAGAAATACGTGCACACACAAATATATATAATTAAAAGCGCCACCCGAAGATCTATATAAATACGAAAAAAAATAGAGACGTAAACAATTACCCAGTAGTAAATCGAATTATCAAACAATAATAACACAATAAAGACATTTGAAACTGAGTAACAACATTATTGTTTTTATTTTTAAAGAGTTATTTAACAAACATATTACTGTATCCATCCTAAGCCTATTTCAAACTACTTTGAGTAGAAATGATAAAAGTAATATAATCGATTTATTTTGATTTATTTTTTATTACTTCGAAGGTTAGCTCAACTCACATTCATTGGTTGTATAAATTTCTGTTAATTTGTTTGAGTTAATATTTTGAACGGCTTGACACTTTGAAGATTACAAAATTATTTACATATAAGTAATACAAAATTTATTATGTGTAAGTAAAGGCCTTTCATTGGATTTGCGTATAAATAAATTAGCATCTTATTAACTTTCAGGCAAATCAATTTTATTGAAGACAATTACACTTGTTTATAATTTGCATAATTATGTAAATTGGTGATTATAATGCAAAGATTTGTATTTTGAAAACTTTTTAATGGGTTATTAGCCTTAGAATTGCTAAAATATAAAATTCTTTCAATTTATGCTAATTTTTGGAATTGATACATATGTTGAAAAAGGTAATAAGAAGAGTTTCTGATTTTATATATATCTATCTTTTGACGTTTAGGATTAGAAACTTGGATAAACATTTTATTTTTTTAATTGTCATTGAAATATAAAGACAATTTATTATGTGTGTAACAAAATTGTGGTTTTGAGAGTAAGGAGTAGAAAAACATTTTTTAATTTAAAAGATGGAAATTTAATTTGACTAGAGCAATTTCCTTCTTCAAATTCATGCGTATGAAGTTCGAAAAATCTTATTTTTCAATCACTCATTTCACATTCAACTTTATTTTAATTCTTTTATTTTTTATATTTTCTTTAGATTTATTTATTTTTATTTATTTTTATATTATAATAACATATTTTATTTTATATTATAAGACTTACCTTAATTAAATTTAATTATTTTAATTTAATTTATTTTATTTCCATTTCTTGTGCCTCTTTTCTTATTTTGTCTAATGTGAATTATTTCAATTATTAATTTTTATTTAGTTTATTTTATATTACTCCAATTCATTTTTCTATTTTTACTTTAATTTATTTTCTTTTTATTTATGTTATATTATTTAAAATTATTTTATTCCATTTTCTAATTTTTTGTTTATTTTAATTCATTTGATTTTATTTAGTTTTTTTGTTTATTTTTTTTAAGTTTAATTGTTTTTTTGTTTCATTTTATTTAGTTTAATTTTCTTTTATTATTTTTTTTTAATTTTATTCAAATTTTTTTTTATTTTATTTTGATATATCTTGGCTTATTTTATTTTTTGTTTTAGTTTATTTTATCTTATTACTTTTGTTTCTTTTAATTTAGGTTATTCTATTTTACTTTAATTATATTATTTAATTTTTTATTTTATTTAATTTATTTTATATTATCCCAATTAGTTTTTTCTATTTTTTTATTTAATTTGTTTTATTTTAATATAACGGTATTCTATTTCTTTTCATTTCATATTATACCATTCCATTTTTTATTTTTTGTTCATTTTAATTTATTTGATATAATTTTGTTTTTTTTCAGTTTATGTTATTTTATTTAAATTTCATTTTTTACATTTTTTTAGTTTATTTTATTTTGTTTTGTTTTATTTTATTTTTATTTATTTATATAATTTAGTTTACTTTTAATTTTGTATGTTCTTTTATTTTATTGTATTTTAATTTATTTATATAACTTTTTTTTTTATTTATTTCATTTGATTTTATTTTGTTTAATTTATTTTATTTCATTTTAGATTATTTTACTTAGATTCGTTTTATTTTATTTTTATTTATTTAATTTAGTTTAATTGTAATTTAGTATGTTGCTTTTATTTTATTGTATTTTAATTTATTTATTGTATATTCTTTTATTTTACTTAAATTATTTTACTTTATTTATTTCATTTAATTTTATTTCGTATAATTTATTTTATTTCATTTCAGATTTTTTCATTTGGTTCAATTTTATTTGTTATTAATTTTTTATTTTATTTTGCTTTATTATTTTATTTTGTTTTTTTCCCTTACTTTATTTTTTCTTTCCCTATTTTATTCACTTGTCTTACTTGAATACATTTGCTTTTATTGAATTTACCTTTTATTTTATTTAATTTTACTTTCTTTCATTCTATTTTATTTTTGGTTATTTTCTAATTATTTTATATTTGTTTTTATTATATTTTAATTAAATTTGGTTATAATTTAATCTTTTTCTTTTATTTAATTTTCATTATATTTAATTAACTTTCTTAAAATTAATTTTATGATATTATTACTTTTAATTTTTTCTTATTGTGTTTTATTTAATTACACTAAATGGATAGCCATTAAAAGTTGTAAAACTATGGCGTTTCTTTCAAAGTTTTGGCTGACTATAAAGTACTCTGCTTACAAATATTATATTATTTTAGCTCCGCTTGAATCAAAGGAATTCTCAATTTTTATTTTCATGAAACGATGATCTATGCGAGTCAATTTCTCAATCAAACAATTTTCTTCGATATAAAAAAACATTTAACACTTTAGCACAAATTATTCAATTTATGTCCACTTACACTTTCGTTTTTATGATTGATCCTTAACCTTCAATACACACAAAGCAAAAAAAAAAATTATATATTCTTTTCGATAGTTCGATAACTCACGATCATAAATACGTTAAAAATTACACCAACTATACTTTTTCGATTTGCTGAGTATTTTCGTTTGAAGCGTACTAATAAACCGCTGCGGCCGACGTTTCAACGTAGACTGGTTGTGCTAAAGATCGCCAACAGGCAACAAAGTTCTTCTTTGGCTGCCGCACGATCAGCAGCAGAAGCAAATAGCAGTAGTCAGCCAAGCGACCGCAAAGAGAAGTTAGCCAGGCTAATAAGCATTTCTGCTCTTGCTTGGAGCAGACAAACATTCAAGCGTGCGTTCGTATGTATGTGCGTACTAATGCCTACTCGTGGGGTTACCTGTTGAGTGGTAGAGTGATGAGTGTGCTCGCTTGTTGGTTCGCTGCGCCACACAGTTCGGTAATTTAAATCGAGCAAAACGTATTCATTCCTGTGTTTATATTGCTGTTGCTGTTGCTGTTGCTGTTGCTGTTGCTGTTGCTGTTGCTGTTGCTGTTGCTGTGAGTGGCAGTAAGCAACACGATCAGCAGAAAGTGAGTTCTGCTGTTAGGAATACCCGTATTATAACGCCTACGTAGAATTATTTTTCTGATTATGATTTGGTTGCATAGTGTATGACGTGGTAATAAGAATAAACATACATAAATTAAATCCCTGCAAAAAAAGATTAAACGTACAACTGATATAGACAGTGTTCCGAAACTTATCTCAACTGGGTCGTACTGGATGGGAAGCAGTCGAAATAGTGTGGAATGAATATTATAAGTGATCACATAGTCCCATCTATTACCTATGCTCCAAGTGGACTCATTGTGATACCACTGAGCATTCCAATGACCCCACCCGCTTATCGAACCAGTGATTGGAGCAGTCGCCGCATCTAACTTTCTCAGGTCTCCAAAGGTTGCCTCCCCTAGAGAGTTCAACCTACTACTCCTAAGTGTGAGGCGTTCGCAGAGAAAGTTTCTAGAGTTTAAGGTTCCTTTTCTTGTCTGTAATTTCTGTAGAAGTTATTAGATGGTACGCCCAATCTCACTGATCGCCTGTCCAGTGGAATATACCCTGTAAGAAGACCTACAACTGTAGAAATCTTCTTTCTTTTTAGCTCGATAAGGTCACATGACCTTTTTCAGTTTAATTCTGACCATATTGCAGGGCTCGTAATGCAGCTTGGCTAAGCGATTATCCGAGCACCACTGAACTGAGACAGTTGACAGCCACATGTATAGTCAACAATTCCACTTAAAAACACTACAGTTATACGGTAAACGAAAGAATTTACTGATAACAAGATCCTTTGAGTAACTCCCACCCTCGCTATATGGATTTTGGTCAAGATTTAGAGATGGATTCTCAATGTAATAGATCTTTTTTGCTTACTAACATTTTCATTGCCTTTAAGTTTGATGAGCTTAAATCGAAAGGATTTGGCTATCAGGTAATCTTTCTTTGCCGGCTTTTGATCCACATAAATAGAATAAGAGTACTCATCTTGATATTATGGATTATTTTCCCTTTTCTAGGATTATAGGCCATATACCTACCTTTCTTAGGCTTATGACGACAGCTTTGAGAAATTCCCCTTAGGCATTTGCATAAGGCAGTAAGCAAAGCATGAAAAAAAAATTTAATTTTTTTAGTTGGATGTAAAAAGACTAATTTCATCCTTCTCTGCAAAAAAAAAAATATGCGTTTTTGAGCCAATTGATTCATAGCATTCTGAGAAAAGAAATGTTTCCCATTTGTTTCTATATCTGTATTATATTTCACTTCATTTAATTCACTTTACTTTTTTATTTAACTTTATTTTTCTTTACTTCATTTGATTTTAATTAATTCATATAAATTTAATTTCACTAAATTTCTTATGTTTTATTTATGTTGTTTTACTGTTTTCCTTTAATTTATTGTACTTTACCTTATTTTATGATTTAATTTGAATTAATTTATCTTTTATTTTATTTATTTTGCTATATTTTGTTTTACCAATTTATTTAGTTATATTTTATTTTATTTTTTTAATATTATTTTTTTACATTGTCTATTACATATTATTTTATCTCATAATTCATTGTACTTTACTGCATTTAGTTTGATTTGATTTAATATTCATTTATATATTTAACTTTGCTATATTGCATTTTTTTCATCATATATTATTTTATTTTATTTTGTTTAATTTATTTTATATTTTTATTTTATAATATTTTGCTGAATTTTATTTTATTTACTTTATTATATTTTATTTCATTATATTTAATTTTTTTATCTAACTTTACTTCATTTTATTTTATATTATTTTATTTACTTATTTTTTTTACTTAATTTTATTTATCTTAATTTAACTTTATTTTATTTTATTTAGTTTTTTGTTATTTTATTATATTGTTACGATTTTACTGAATCAACCTCGATTATTTTCTAGATCCTTCGGGTACGATCTCTGGATTGTTAAATAAAAACTCGCCAACTTAATTTGCAGTTTCTTTCGTTATAAAGATTCTATCTAATGTCCTTTATTTTCTCAGTAATTCACAATTCAATTATACTGCACTTTACTATTTATAATCACTAACATCAACTTTCACAATTTACTCTACTTAAATGTAATTCCCAACGCGTTCACTTTTACGACTTCACTGATGTTAACGCCAACCAGTTCGCTTTGTCACTGCTTGACTTGCAGCTGAGTGTCGCCTTTATATAGCAGTCGGCTGCTCGCAGACGAAAGCGTAGAAGCATCGAATTGTTCGCTATGGAAGGTTCTTGTTTTATCGTTTCTAGAACGTACTAGTTATCGGCTTCTCTCTTTCATCTGACATTCGCCTCGCATTTTCGCAACAATATTTTGCTGAATTTTGTTTTATTTACTTTGTTTGATTTTATTTCATTATATTTAATATTTTTATTCAACTTTGTTTTATAAACGCTTAAGTGATTTTTGGCCGAAGGCCACCCCCATTTTGTGGTATTCGTCTTGATGTATTCCCAACTGCCTCTGAACGGCTGATGGTTTTTTATGAGGAGTTTTATTTCATGACAGAAATATACTCGGAGGGCTGGCATTCCCTACCGAGGCGCAAACGCAATTCGAAAACTTAACTTAATTTATTATTTAAATTAAATTTCTATAACTTATTGGATGCTAGTACGACGCCAGGATATGAGCCCGAGTCTTCCGCGTCCGCCGAATGCATGTATGTTTCATTTTATTTTATTTCGTTTGCCTTCTTTTTTTTACATATTATTTTATTTAATTTTTTTGATATTATATATTTTTTTTTTGCAGTATTCAAATCTTTAATTAACCCTTCGCATAAATATTGTCCTAAAACATATATCAACTATTCCTTCAGGATGTTTGAAGTATATACAGTTATAATGTAATTATGAAAAACAACAAAACATTAATTACATACTTTATTTCAGTTTTATTCGAAATAACTTAATAACATTTTTTTTTCTCTCAATATTTATTATGAATAAATTAATTTAAATTAAATTCAAGCTTAAACTATTATTTATACAATTTCAGCTACAAAACAGCTACTACATACAATACATGTAGACAAACTTCTTAACACTAATAATTAAATTAGCATAACTCAGTAGGCATCTTCAGTATATCCAATAAATATAATATAATGGATAGGTGCGCATATACAGATGCGTATGTGTGTTTGTGTGTACAATTTTCTTAACTGGCAAACTATGCATTATACAATATAATTAAGTTTGAGCAAAAGTGTAATCAGCGGTCAATATAAAAGAGACCCAAATATGTATGTATGTATGTATAGATACATCATATGCAGCACGTCTAATGGGCAATAGAGTATTGAGTACAAATTCCTTATTCACATAAATATATATATATATATATACATATATATTAAAGGTACAAAATAACTTAATTACACACACCCGTATACAATACACATGTCATATAAGTATGTCTGTGTATGCGCGTATAAAATATTTCCTCTTTTTTCCTTTGATAACTCAGTCATATTACGTGTATGTACATATATATATATATATATATATATGCTGTTCACTGTGACTTTGGCGCATGCGCTAATTCAATGGAGTCACTATAATTAAATAAAGTTTATTTACATGTAAATTAGTTAATCTTTTAACAAACCACCCACCTTATACTTATCTTTGGTGCTTTCTCAATTTCCATATCTTCCGCAATTTTCGATATGGTAAATATATCATTTGATAAAGTAGTACTCTGTGTAACATTACTGGTATCACCGGAGCTGCCATTGATCACTGCGGGTAACGTGACAACAGTGTGCGCGCTACCGTTGCGCTCTCTCATGGCCAAACGTCCAGCACTGGAGAGTGATGTATGTCGGTTATTGACGGACTGTAGAGATATTAAAAAATATATATTAATATTATTTTAAAACTTTTTTCAAAGTTTGTAATAAGGTCACGTGACCTTGTTGAGCTAAAAGAAGGAGATCCAAGTAGAGGTACTTTTTTGCATAGCATTTTTTCGACAGATCACGCGTGAGATGTGTCAAACTTTTATGTTATTTTTGTTTAGTATTGTTTGGCATTTTATCATGCAAAAACTCACTGGTCACTAGTCAACATAATCCGCCTACTGAGCGTATTATTCGCAACACCATCATCACATCATCTTGAGACTCAGCATTCATTATTGGATAAACCGAAGTAACCATGTCCGTTGACCTATGGAACTTCCTATGGAGCTTTCCAAGCGACATAGCTTTGCTCTATGGGCTCTTTAAAAATTCCTAGAAGATCCGACGTTTTCGAGCCAAATTTTGTTCCGCAATAAGACCCATTTCTGGCTCAAGGGGTATGTAAACAAGCAAAGTTGTCACATTTGAGACGAAGAGCAATCTGGAGACCATTATCGCGCCATGATAACCGGCTATTTGATGCCTGAAATTGAAGCTCGTGATTTCGGCGACATTTGGTTTCAACAAGGCGGCACCACTTTTCATACATCGCATCAATCAATGGATTTATTGAGATGAACAGATAGTATCACGATTCGGCCGTTTGGCTACAAAGATCGTGAAATAGCACACCCTTAGACCTTTCCCTGTGGGGATATGTAAAGCCTAAAGTCTATAATTAAAATCCCGCTTCCATGCAGGTCGTCATTAGGCAGTTACCAATCGAAATGCTCGAAAGAGTCAGCGAAAATTGGACTCAACCAATGGACCATCTGATATGTAGCCGCGATCAATATTTGAAACAGATAGTCTTCAAAAAACAAGCGCCAAATAATGTTCTTTCGAATGATAACGAATATTCCCCATTCAATTCAAAATTTTTGTGTTTTTTTCTTTAAAAAAGTAGGAAACCTCGAAGTAGATCACCCTTTAGAGGGAGCTTCAACAAACATTTGATCGGTTGATGTTAAATCTGAATTTGCTACGCCTGTAAACAGCTATAACCACGATTAGAAGAGAGTATTTGCTGACCACCTATGTAAGCACCACCTCAGGATGACGTTCCCTTTGCCATACTCTGCAGGCGTAAGGCTAACATTCTTCTGATAAGAACAGATTGGGTTGCAGCTAGAATTATTGCAAGCGCTGAGGATTGTCGCAGTTTATAGGGGAAGAACAACTAACTGGTCCAATCATTGAGGAATCTGCGTCAACTCCACTAAGGTGAAATAGTTCATCTTCATTAAGAGTTATAAAATATCGACAAACAATAAACCTGCCAACTCTGAATGGTGTTGACTGAAGCTCTGGAACCAAGACAAAATTTCTGAGCGAGAACTTAAGAAGGTTTTCATCGCCTTTTTTACATGTAAATACCTCTAAAATGGTATATAAGTCCTAAGATTTGTCAATTTTTATATACATCGATCATTGCAAGTAATATTTCAAGCTAAACACCGTTATGGGGCGGTAGATAACACAGGAGCCGAGCTCACGAGCAAGGTTATATCAATTTCAAATTAAGCTGGACCGAAGATGTTCAGACACAACATACCACCTCTTACTTAGGTTCACGTGCTTGGTAGAAAATTCTCAAGCAGATTCTTGCAGCAAACTTGCCGTCAAATGTCTTTGGTTACATGCAAATTTCTGATCGCGTCGAATTTAGGATGAACGGCAAGCGACTTTCAGAACAACTGGAAACAAAATTTGTGTCTTAAGTACTCCATACATGGGGAACGCACACCATTCAGCGGAATGAGCATATTATTGAAGGTGAAGGTTCTTAAAGCGTACCCCAACAAATGGAGAGACCTACCGTCTATTCTAATCAGCCACGATTGGCTGAAGGATTTTTATGAGGAGCTTTTATTTGATGTCAGAAAAATGCACTCGGAGGGCGTGAATTCCAATTCGGATGCTGATCGGACCGGGACTCGAACTCGTCTCTTGGCAACCTCATTTATATCAATAAACATATATTCAAAGATTCCATTTAAATAAAAATACGCACCGTATTATTGTTATTCCCTTTGCCGCGTATATTGAACACACCATAGACCAAGGGATTCATACACGAATTCGTGCAGGCGAATATGAAGAATATTTTGCGCAACAATGGATTGACATTATAAGCTGATGCCTTATCTAGCCAAAACCATAAAGACATTATATAATATGGCGTCCAACAAATTACAAATACGATCACAATGGTTATAGTCATTTTGAGTGTACGCTTTTTGGCGCGTCCCAGTACATCATCGTTAGAGCGGCGGAAACGAGCGAAACCTGGAAATGATAAATCCATATTTAGTCAATCTAATTAGTTGTAGGTAATGTTTCATGCTTTTATGCTTAACCATTTTTGTCATCACCCTTAACCATGCGCTTACTCTTGCGATAGATCTCCCTGTAGATACAGCCATAACAGTAAATGAAAGTGACCAAAGGGAAGGCATACATGGCGCACATATTCGAAATCTGATAGATTAGTTTGTGTAGTTCGGTGGGAAATGAATGGAATGTGACGCATTGGTAATAGCCTTTCACTTTGGGATGTTCCTCCAAATGGAATACAAAGGCCTGCGAATGTAAAAACAAAGAGAGCCCTAAATATTATCTAAAAAGTAGTTTGCGCAAAATTATAATAATTAAGAATATTTCGAGATCGGAGGCCAGAACTGCCATAATAAGTGTATAATTCTATTTATTTTCTCCAATCTTACATCAGATTTCTAACTAAGTTAATAGCAAGTTTTATCAACAGCTCATTTCTATTTAGGAAGCCAGCATGGATTCCTCGAACTCTTTATCTTTATTCTTTACCACATCTTAATTCAATGTAGTTTACAGCAGCTGATGCTCGAATATGTATGTATTGCTCTTCAAGTACAACTGCGCTCGGTCTGCAGTTCAGGACATTCCGTAACGCTAGTAGTTTTCGTACACAGGCCTGACAGGCTTTCGGTTGTACCCTTACGCCGATTGGACGGGATTTGGATAACATTGAATATTCGTCGGGAAGAAGAACACTCCTTAAAGAAATTTTTCCGATAATAATTTTTCATTTCTTCCTCTTATTCTTCTTTTTCTTAACTGGCGTGGGTTTACTTACTCGACTATAGCCGAGTTAATAACATTGCACCATTCATTTCATCTCTTCGCTGTTTGTCGTCAATCGAAAATATCGAGTACAACCAGGTCCTTCTCTGCCTGGCTTTTTCAACTGACTAGAGGCCTTCCTCTTCGTCTACTTCGACCGGCGGGTACTGGAGTATTATTATCCATCCGGACGACATGACCTAGCCGCCGCAGCCGCTGTTTCTTGATTCGCTGAACCATGTTAATGTGGCCGCAAGTCTCGTACAGCTTATCGTTCCATCGCCTACGGTATTCGTCGTTACCAACACGTATAGGACCATAAATCTTTCGCAAAACCTTTACCTCAAAAACACCTAACGCCGAATTATCCGATGTTGTCATCGTCCATGCCGCCGCATCATATAGCAGGACGGTTGAGATAAGGGACTTGTAGAGTTTGGTTTTCGTGCGTCGAGAGAGGACTTTACTTCTCAATCGCCTACTCAGTTTATAGTAGCACCCTTTGGCAAGAGTGATTTTGCGCTGGATTTCAAGGCTGACATTGTTATTGGTGTTGATGCTGGTTCCTAGATAGACGAAACTATCTACAACTTCACAATGACGTGAGAGACGAGTCTCAAATGTGATGACGGTTTGTTTGAAGGCAAGAGATATCTCGTGTTGTCACCGTACCCAAATCCTTCGCTTGCTTATGCAGTCTGGAGAAAGGACAACTCACGACGCGGTTTTTGAGGTCAATGATGTCAATATCATCCTGGCGTACGCCGATGAAGAATGTACACTCTCTATTCAGGTATGCAGCTCATGCTATTTTCTTCAACATAAAAATGAAGAAATCACATGTTAAAGAGTTATCCTCTCTGAAACCTTGTTTCGTACGGAACGGCACGGAGAGACTCTTCCCGATCATGACGGAGATTTAGTGTTGCTTAGCGAAAGCTTACACAGCCGTTCAAGTTCTGAAGGGGGAGGGATACCGAATTCAGACAAAGCGGCGAACAGGTAAAGTTTTCGAGTATTACTCTTGTCGTTTACAAGCTTTTCGTACTCACGCATCTCGGTCTTTTTATTTCGCAAAGTTGCGAGGTAGGCAATCTGTCCGCTCTCCACTGCTGCACGGCAGTCCTCATCTCGCCGTAAATATTATGTTAAAGTTAGCGTTACCGATTCAACGGTATTTTGCATAAACTAAAGATAATTTCTATTTTTTTATATACCACTTTACCTGATTGCTCTTTTGAAATACTCGTACTTATTTTGGAATAAAGTAATCAAAAAATTTCTGTTTTTATGTTAACTTACCTGCGGTGTACTGCATACCACCGAAGCCACCCATGCAATTGCCAACATGATACGACCACGATTTGTTGAGAATTTTAACGGTTTCAATATAGCATAGTATCTACGAAACAAAAGGAAATAATTTTGCAATTGACTTTACAAAATTCTAATGGAAAAATACTACAAATTGCATAGGGACAGAATTGAAATAAATACAAACTCACCGATCTATTGATATGCTGACAAGCACAAAACTGGACAAGTACAAACCAAATACGCGGAAAAAGCTCATTGTACGACAAACAAAATCGGTAGAACGCCATTGCACCGTATACGCCCACGCTATCTCTAGTGGCATTAATAGGAAAGTCACCATCAAATCAGCAATGGCCTTTGACATCAAGACGAGATGATGATACGATACGATGCGATGCGATGCAATGCAATGCAAGCGGCAGAGAGGACCGGATCAAGCAGCACCAACAGCAGTAGCAGTAACAGCGCGATAGCCAGCCAGTCAGTCAGTCAGTCAATCAGAACAATCGGGCGAGAGATGATAAGAAAGTACAAAGTAAGTGTTACTTATGAGATAACGAGTAGGCGAAAATTCTCGGATATAGAAAGGTGTATGTGTAATATGTACCTGCTTATGTATTATGTATTGTGAATAATAAATTTTAATTGCTTACTAAATTACTTAGGTTTGCATATTATATATAAAAGTATTAAATATGTGCAAAGACAACGATTACATATAGAGAGCTATACATACGTATTTATTTTATATTTTTTATGTTGTTTTAATGTATTTTGTTTCATTTTATTTTAATTTATCTTATTTTAATTTATTTTGTTTTAATTAATTTTATTTTAATTTCATTTATTTTAATTTCATTTCAAATTATTTTATTATATTACACTTCATTTTATTATATTTTTACTTATTTTATTTCCTTTTACCCTACTCTATTTTATTTCATTTCTACTCATTTTATTTTATTTTATATTACTTATTTCAAATTATTTCATTCTATTATATTTTACTTTAAGTGGTTTTATTTGTTTATTTTTACATTTTAAATTATTGAATTATATTCTATTATATTTCACTTTAATTTATTCTATTTTTTATTTAATTAATTTTAAATAAATTTTAATCTTTTTTTTATTTTTTTATATTACTTATTTCAAATTATTACATTCTATTATATTTTACTTTATGTTATTTTATTTGTTTATTTCTACATTTTAAATTATTGAATTATATTCTATATTGCACTTTAATTTATTCTATTTTTTATTTAATTAATTTTTAATAAATTTTAATCTATTTTTTTTATTTTTTTATATTACTTATTTCAAATTATTCCATTCCATTATATTCTATTTTATGTTATGTGATTTGTTTATTTTTACATTTTAATTTATTTAGTTATATTTTTTTACATTTTCATTTTATTCTATTTTTTTTATTTTTTATTTATTTAATTTTAATTAAATTTTAATTCATCTAGTTTTATTTTATTCATTTCATATTATTTTATTTTATTTTAATTTAATTTATTTTGTTTATTTTATTTTATTTTATTTTATTTTATTTTATTTTTAATAATTTATCTTCTTTCTTTTTACTTTATTCCACTTTATTTCATTTCTACTCATTTCTCTTTATTTTATACTATTTTAATTTTATTTGATTTTATTCAACTTAATTTAGTTTTAATTTGTCTTAATCCTAATTTAATTTATCTTATTATATTTATTATGATTTATTTAATTTTTTTTATTTTAATTTAAAATTATTTTATTTTAGTTCGTATTATTTTGTTTATTTTTCTTCTTTTTTTTAATGTTTTATTTATATTTTTTTTTTTTTTTTTGAATTTATTTTATTTAATTTAATTTACTTTTAATTTACCTTAATTTTAATTTAATTTGTCTTATTATATGTTACTTAATTTTTTTATATTTTGTTTTGATTTATTTAATATTTTTCAATTTTATTTATTTTATTTTAACTTAATTTCTTTTTATTTATCTCACATCATTTAATTTTATTTTGTTTTAATTTATTTCTTTTTTTAGTTTTAGTTTATTTTCTTTATAAAGTTTTTGCTTTATATAGTTTTTTTTTTTATATTTTTTTATGTCATTTTTTCATTTATTTCATTTTGTTTTATTTTATTTTATTTTGTTTTAACTATCTTCTTTCGTTATATTTCATTTCATTTTATTTGTTTTTACGTGTTGTCCGTTTTGCGTTAAAAACGTAAATTACATTTGTGTCTGTGTTTAAATTTATTTACCAGATGCATCAACATGATATCGATACGCGACGGACTGCGCGTACGATTATGCCAGCGTCGCTTCACAATCAAATACAGCACTGTCGAGTTGCCGATCGATGAGAGTACGAGCAGAATGCTAAACGGGAGCAAAACATACAAGTAAGTGTCAATCAATAACAAACAATTGATTGATAAGCACTCACCTGTAAACTGTTATCGATAGTCGATGACCATCATTGAAGATCATATCCTTTGAATAGTGCATTGTGCCATTTGTTTCGTTGACCACATTCGACCAATCCGGCATGATGCGATGATCGTAAATCTTTTCATTGACTTCATCTTCGTTTTGCGGCATTTTCATTTCACGAAAGTTTGTCTGTCTGACTGATAATTAGCGAAATCGAACTGTTTATTCTCGTATGTATATGTCTATATATTTGTAGTTTTGTGTATTTGTCGTGTATAAATATAGTTGCTGGAATGTATTATATATGTACATGCGATGAGCTGCAAATAAATATACAGATACCAAACAGTTAAAATTTAATATTTATAAATTTAATCAATTCTACAAATAAACACACATACAATTTATATACTCGCACGTATACTATCAATATACTACAATGCAATGGGAAAAATTACTGTTCAGCCTTTTGGGTGGGTGTTGGGTTAGTTGGTAATTGTTTTTTTTTTTATAAATTGTATAAATAAATATTCTTATAAATACAAGTATATACATACATACATATATAAACCGTCATACACATTATATTTAAGGTAATCCATTTATATTAATCGTACGATTAATGCGCGTTTGTATAGTCATTATTACTAATTAGTAATTTTGTTGTTATTTGTGGGCAATGGGTAATTTAATTTAAAATTTTAAATTCACTGAATTTATTTCAAATCGTATTTTAGCTATAAAATACATAGTTTTAAATAGCTGGGTATATATTTTTGTTATTCCACACATGCAAATATGTACATATATATTATTTACATCGAGCGTATGGGAATTTCCCTTTTCTGATTTTTGGGGCAAAAGTTTCGTATTCTTATTCGAATTTAGTTTAATTTTATTTAAATTTTATAATATTGAGGTAATGGGCTCTAGGCCTAGCATATCGTGCCAATTCTACTTGGTAACTGATTTAAAGCAAAAAAAAAAACATTTTCTAACTGTTCATCTTACTAGGTTTAGCTTCACTAATGTTTGTTGGATAAAATGTGTTTGTTGGATGGGCATGACAAGATATATTTATCTTTATCAAAACTCATTCTGAGGCGAATAATTGCTTATGCCCAGCAGCACCTTTAACCTAACCCAACCGTTAAAGGAGCTGCTGGGCATCCACCCACTTAGGACACCACACTGAGGCAGCGCTTAAAGGTGTCGTGTTCTTCTTCCTCTCTGCAGCTCTTGCAGCAGAAGTCGTTCATTTGTACGCTCTGTACTGTATCAGTGTGCCTACCTATAAGATTATGTCACGTAAGAAGACCGATCATCCCAATGAGAACTGCTTAATCGTTACGTTTAGTAATACCATTAAACTTAGATACTTAACAACCTCATGCATAGCTTATAGTTCCTCCGGAAAGCACTACAGTACTACAGTGATAAGCCAGACGAAAGGTCTCACTGATCTCAAGTTTCTATGAATATATTTTAATACCGACCGGGCTTTCAGCCATCCGTAAAAAATTAGATCGCGTCTGCGAACAATAGATCAATCCATTGTTTTCTAACTGGAATATTCACTCTGTAAACCGTAATTGCCGATTTAATTACTTAAGATTGTACTTTTCTATGCGCCTTATTAAGATCTGGAGGAATTTGCCATTCACATAACTCTCGATGAGCATGTCCCTATCATTCTATATTCCTCACCAATTGGTTCATTGCCAAGACTTGTGATGTTTCTCAACTAACAGGCTTAAGGGTCGACACTCCTACGAACTAAGGCCCTACAAACCGGTTGATATATTGATGGGTATATCTCTTCATCTTCTGGCACAAACATACAAAATTTATGAAACATTTCAAGATAATGACAGGTATAAAGATGATGAGGGATATTATTTTTTGAAAGATATAATTTTTCACTACAGTTTTTCTGAACCACATCCGAACGGATTTGTGCCCATGGTCTATTGAATGGCAGCACACACTGCTAGTAGTCAATGTAGAAGCTAGCGAGATAAATAATAGCTGGCCCTGAAGTAGCTTTTTAGAGGAGAGTTTCGTGGAAGATGAACAGAGAAGATGAAGATTTCAGATTTGTGCTTGCGATGAATCGCTAAGCTGTACGAGAAAGGAGGCGACATTGCAATAGTTCAACGAATTAAGAAACAGTGGCTAAGATCACTAGCTCATATCGTAGGCAAACATACTCCAGCTTTGAAAGTATTTTATGCAGTACCTCCTGGTGCAAGAATAGGAAGAGAAACACGTCCACTCCGTCGGGAAGATCAGGAGGAGAAGTTCTTAGCTTCACTTGGTGATTATCGTTATTTATAAAAGGCTTTGTCCTGACAACTGACAGATCAACACCAAAGCGTCGACCACTGCTCGTACAGAAGAGATATAGCAAGTTAGCGCGCTGAGAGCTGTATCTTCAAGAGGGATGCCTTAAAAGCTGCTGTTTTTATAGAAATTGACTATCCATCTTACACTGCAGACCTGGCTCCCAGTGACTTTTTCCTTTTTTTTTCATATATTGTATATACATATTTGCTTAAGGTGGCGTCAAATTCAGCCGCCACTCGTAAAATGCATTTAAAATCATTTTTTTCATGAAATTCCTTTTTTATTATAAGGTTTGAACCTTCGCATAATATGTGAAACACTACACCATATAAATGATCGCCTCGTTAATTTTGCAATTAATTCAGAAGCCACGTATTGCCCAAAAAAAGTCGGTTATCATACGACCGTAATGCTCTAAATTTATAGTGACAGTCCCGCCGTTGCGGCCGGAGGTGGCTTAGTATAAATTGCAAGTCCCTCCATTTTGTTGGAAAAACATCAAGATGCAAAAACCAAAAGTTGTTGGAGGAGCTCAGCCGAAAAATCGCTTTAGCGGTTACAAAGCACCAATGATTTTAAAGTCCAGTCACACCTCTGTACCAAAGATCACACAAAATAATAAGTTTGATTTGGTTCTCCTGTGCTCTCTTCTACCAAATGAAAATGTTCAGAGCCTCAAAAACGAAAAATTTGCTTATTTCCATATCCCCGAGTGAGAAATGTGAGTCGTTGCTGTTGAAAATTTCTTTTGAAAAATCACCGTCCACTTGTTGTTGTTCAATCACCCAATCAACATATGTATGGTACTGTGAATGGTCAGCTGGCTTCAGTTGTTGTACGAGCTAGACTTTATACGGATGTAGGTGTAAGTTCAAGTGTGTAAGAAAGTCCTAGTATCTGAGAACGTCGGGAACTTGACACATTCGAGTCTTCGGCTGCACCTACTATGAGTGAAAGAAGCGATAGTTGGTATGAAGAAAACAATGATGCGCAGACCTTTCAGTCTGTTCACTTTATAATGGAGCCAAACACTTGAGTAGTTGTACGATTATGTGCACCACAATCTCCTCTTAAAGAATGAAATCTGGCCACATTGGAATCACCATTTTTGTAACGGCTGTTAAGCGATCCATTTTCATAAATTCCCGACTTTTAACTAATAGAAAATATGTTTGGTTTGACAGTTAAGTTTGACGAATATCAAAATACGGCTCTATGCTTCTAAAAACCTCGAAATGGATAACCCTATATATTGCACAGTAATATAAGTCAGAGCCAAATAAAATCAAAAGTGATTCCATAGACAATTTTCAATTTCAATTTCTTTTAATGTCGGGTCAACAAGCGTTTTTTAAACAAATTATTTATTTACATATTTAAATTCAAAAATATTAAACACCGGCGAATTAATACCACAACACCAACACACTTACATACACGTACATAATTCGCGCGCACATTAAACGCGGTGTTAGAAAAGAATTCTGTAATTTCAAAATAAACAAATTTCGATTACAAATAAAATTTTCAATATCAATTCGAAAAGGAAATTGCACGCCACATACGGGTACATACATACATACCATGCATACAAGGTATACAAATAAACTAGCTCGCACACACAAGCAATTCAAAATAGCTACCAAACGATACGCGCATGTATGTATGTATGTAAATTGTATTATTGATTAGTTTATACAAGTAAAGTTATGAAATTCTTATTTACTAATGGGCAATATTTATTGAAATTAAACACTTTGTGCTAGACAAAGAGTTCGAATGATTAAATGTTTTAAAATATACATACATATGAACGCTAAAAATATATGTTTGTATATATGTAAGTCTATATGAGTTTGTATATGTGTATATGTTTCTGTTTTGCTACTAACTAAGGCGCTAAAAGAAGAGCAAATAGAAGTGTTGCTACTGATAAGTGTAACAATATAAAAATAGTTCAACTTCAAATTAATGCTTAATACATTAAAAAATTAAAAACACACATTTTTATAGAAGTTTGAATGCCAGAAACACGTGTAGTATCTTTGGTATAGTCCAAAGTATACAAACTGTTACACAAATTTTTTTGGACTTCTTTATCATATTGCAGCACAAAAAAATTTAATCAAGTTACTTTAGTGCCCTCAGAATGAAAAACTCACAATTACATTTCGGGTGTTATTGACGTGCGTGCGCTCCGAGGACCCAACATCGACTCGGACAACTATATTGCAGCAGTAAGCATACGCACCTGCTCTCTATGAAAAAAAAAAAAAAATGCCCGTCAACAAACACATGAAAAGCTTGACGTCGAGAAACTGCAATGATAACAGACAGTTGAGCGGTTTCTCACTGAACTTGCACACCTGCAGTCGGATAGAACTTAACAGCAAATCGTTATAAGAAAAGAGTGAGACGGCATTTCAAGCTCCATACGCACCGCCGCTTTGTAAGTAATTGCTTTTGTTCAGTGCCAGCTGGTACAATGAGGATTACAGTGTCACAGTGAAGAGAATATAGGCTACCTCCCGCACAACGTGGCGAACGACCACAGCACGTGCGGGCTGGGTTAGAAACCGAGTATCAAAAAGCAAGAAACAAAACTCAAGTGCAGACAAATAAAGAATATGAAGAGCGGTAACTTACAGAAGGTTTCAAGACCGTTGTAAACTCTTGTAGGACACAGACAGCTGATCTAGGGAAGAAGTTTGAATAACAATTGCCCATCTTCTTTGTTAAATATGGTGGAATGAAAGCTTGTCCGATCATTGGAACCGAGATAAATGCCAAGTACCGAAAGTCCGTCAGTTCCTGAGCTCTCTTCCAGTGATTGGCGTTACCGTAGTCAAACCACCATCTATTGTAGACGAAGAGCTCGGGCGAGGGTTCGGCGTGATACTGGCGCAGCTAATATCTAGATAATGTAGTCGACTAAACTTCTACCTATCCAGACTTGGGTCGGAGAGACCCAGCGTATATTCTGTATGCAATGAGTGTCCGCATGACATCAACACCAACCACCTCTTTGCAACTCATTAAATCCAGCTCAACGCCCATGGACCTCCCGTGAAACTGATCTTGCCTGCTCCTAAGCGGGGCTAGAGAACCGCTACAACAACAGCGAAACCTAGGTGTACTCCAGCCAATGCACTAAATCCAGTGGAATCCAGTCTGCGCCATTTATCGTGCTATAACCCTCCCCAATAGTGCATATAAGATCCTACAAAGCATATTATGTGAACAACTAAAGCCCATCGTGAACAAACTATTTGAACCTTATCAGTGTGGCTTTAAGCCTGGTAAATACACTATTGACCAGGTATTCACCATACGCTAAGTCTTAGAAATGGCCCGTGAAAAGAGGATCGTCAATTTTGAAGCTATTTCTGAATTCGGTATTCCCACAAAACTTTTACGGCTATGTAAACTGACATTCAGCATAACCAAAAGCTCCTCCAGAATCGGAAGGACCTCTTCGAGCTGTTCTATATCAAATGAGGTCTCAGACGAGCAATGTCAGCCTTGAAATCTAACGCGGAATCAATATTTTACTACTTTGGGAAGGGAAAGGAATCGATAAGCAAAATCCTCACCTGTTATATGGTGTTTTTGAAGGACTGAATAGTTCGGCGAATTAAGTTACACCGGCTACATTGGCCATATCATGTGACCTGGATTGAAACTTTTCAAAGCAGTACCAGCCGGCGGAAGAAAAAGAAGAGAAAGACCTCTATGGGTGCCACATGAGTTAACGAATGAGAAAAAACCTCTTGGACCAAATTTCCAATTATTAACATCGAACCATTTCTGAAGCGAATGGTGGTTGGGAATAAAAAATAGATCACTACAGCAAAGTTAAACGAAAACGGTCGTGACTAAAGGACAGTAAAAGATCTGCAAGTAAGGCATGTTTTTTTGTATGATTATTGGGATTGCCAAGGAATCATCCACTATGAGCTGTTTCCCTACGACCAAACTCTTAACTTGCACCTGTTCTGTCCGCAATTAAACCATCTAAATAAAGCAGTTGCTCCAAAGCGATCTGCTTCGGCGAACAGGAGGGTATTTGTGCTTGATTAGTGTCTCGCCAACAGAGAAGTTCTTATGCATCCGTATCGATTGCATAAATTATCGAGCAAAACGGTGCATATTTGACATGAATTGTATAGCTTCAACTGAGATAAATAAAGCTTTGAATTTAATGCAGAAATAATGGAACAGTGCCCTTGTGTCACACTCAAAAAAATTTCGTCTCGGTCATCGAACAAAGATTTAAGCACAACTTTTACAGTTTTTCGCAAGCCTTAGTAGCACCAGTAAACCCTTAGTTGAAGAAAGTGTTACATAAATACGAAAATTTATTAGAATTTTTATTAAATAACATTAACTGTGTAATATAAAATAAGAAGAAAGAGATATTTTCGGCCATACTGAAGTCTTTACACCTTTCACGAGCATGTCAAATTTATTTTATTGCGTTTTAGTATTAAATATTATATTAATTCTAACATCTTTGGTTCTAGGCAGACTAAATGATATAATCCTCCGTTCTAGGTGGTTTTCAGTGTCAATGTTTGTATGTATATTCGTATGTAGAATACTAAATTTCAATCTTTGAAATGATTTTTTGACGGAGGTTAGATCTAAAACTGCATATCTAAACAAATCGTTTATATGGGTATTGTACTCCGATTTCAATGATTTTCAGTACCAATATGTATTGTAGTTCGTTATTGAAGTGCTTGTGAACCCACATCATATATGTGAATGTCATAGTAATCGAACTGGCTAATACCGACAAATGATCAATAAACTATCAAAATACATCTGCTCACAAAGTTTAGTTGAAATATCTCAAGAACTGAGGGACTACCCTGCAGGGGAAAACCAACTAGTGTGCAAAAATTCTAGTTAAATACTAGTGTGTTGAAGATGAAATCATACCAGTTCGTTATTTGTAAAGAAGTCCACCAGTAACGGGAGAAATAACAATTTCCACCATTATTTGTTGTTGTTATATCTGCAGACCGCGGCTGAATTCCATTCTATGCTCTGTTCTGTTCTGTTCTGTGCACAAAATGATCGTTTGATCGTTATGATAGCCGAGTGGTTAGAATTTATCGCTGTAGCGCGTTAAACCCCCGGTTTGAGTCTAGCTGGAGGCAAATTATATTTTATTTTTTTTTTTCAATTTTTGGTGAATTCTTAATTCTATTTTTTTTTTTTTTTTGACTTTTTGGTGAAACAAAAATTTTTAATTTTCACCTCCACGTCATTCGTATGTTATTTTTGTTTTTAGTATGACACAGCTGAGTTTCATTTTCTAAAAAATTATGTTGAAGTGCGCAAATTTCGTTCCTCCATATATCATAACGATAGTCTGGTAGTTAGAAGTCTTCACTGTGGGTCTCGGTTGGATTTTCGCAGCAGGCAAACTGAATTTTATTTGATTTTTTTTGGTGAAGTAGAAATTCAACATGCCTAAATGAACTAGTATTAAACTCGTATGTAGCTAATGCATAGTAGGTTCATAGGACATCGCCGTGTTAAAAATACCAGCCGCTTACATGGAAAATGGATGAAGATGGGCAAGTGGGTGTAATAACGTAAACTAGTTGAATTCTAGTTGATAACTAGTATTTTCCCCTGCAGGGTGGAAACTAGTTGATAACTAGTATTTTCCGCTGCATTGTAGCTTTCACATAATCAGACGGACGGACTCCTCGCTTAGTCATTCTATTCATACCGGTATAGATTTTCTTAACTGCATTTGTTTTCCTTTTGCTGCTCAACAGGTCAATTGGAAAGTTCCCGGCCTAGTAAAATGCATTTTTTGACAATTTTTTTAAATTTTATTTCATTTGTTTATTCAATATAGTTCCTTTTAATGGTGTTCACTGACTATAGCGACCCTCCAATTTTTCGTTACCATCTATTGCAGTACGATATGTCCCTTGCTTCAAAACAGGGCTCCGTTTCGGCGATCACCCCTTCATTCGAAGAGAATTTCTTTAATTCATGGATTTCATAAACTCGTTGCTGGACCTACTTTGCACAGAGCTTTCTCCCAGCCAAATATTTTTTAATGTTGTACACGTTCGGTTGAAATCTAGATTGCCCGCTTTTTCATTCGATTCCAACTTACGGTTATTCAAAATTATTCTGTAGATTTTTTTGATGTTTTCGTCGGTAACAATCTCTTTTGGGCGTCCATTGCGTTCACCGTTTTCGGTTCGCATTTCACTCGTTCTAACACCATCAAGCCATGTTTTCGCTGCACCCAAATATTTTTTTTTTTCAAAAGTAATATTTTATCAACATATGAAATTTCTTTTCGCCCATTTTTTCACAAAAACAAAAGTTGCTTCACTCAAAAGGTTAGGGCTAACTAAAAACCATATGGATTTAATTCTAGTAGCGGCATCTATGTGTCAAGCTGGGGGACTTTTCAATCGACCTGTTATATACTTAAAACCAAAGTTAATATACCGTTTCATGAAGGTACATATACTCGTACATGCAATCACAGTTTGATTATGGAAAAATTTGTTCGATTAATTTTAATCTTTCCATTATCAGTTTGTGTACGCTTACAAATTGAGTTAAAATTTAACAAAATCTTCGCTTCAAAATAGTTTTATATGTATGTATTTGTAAGCATAAAGTAAAGAATAATATGCGCTGCACAAACTCACATTTTTCTCTCACATCCAATACCGTTGCTTTATCACTTTTTGTCTTTTACGGAATTAATGGAACTAAATTTCAAACATAAAATCATCAGTATATCGATAATGAAAATAGTTAAACCGCGAGGTGCAACTGCTTAGCACAGTCGACCTTGACCAAAACCGCACACAGACTACTGGCTAATTGACCGACTTCAGCTCACTTAGCGTACTGGCGGGGCGTATGAGTAACACACAACAAGACCCTACGAACAAAAGCGTAAGCGTGGTAAACAGAAAGTGCCAATAATCACTGGTATTGTTTAACGTTTTGTTTTGTTTCTTTTCTTTTCGTTTATGTTTATTTTTTTGTTCTTTTCTTTTCTTGCACTTATTTCACTTTCTTTGTTATCCTGCAAGCGGTTAGAGCTTCTTATAAATCGCGCGCGTTAACCGTACGTCGCACCACATCTCTGAGCGTGCACGAGTGAGCAACTGATACTAAATACCATAAGCGGCAACAACCTGCGGGCAATGGATGCTGCTGGCGTCGTCGAAATGACATCCAGACATCCAGCTATGTGTAGTCAGCGTCAGGCAGCAGAAGCAGCAGAAGCAGCAGAATTAAAAGCAGTAAATAGTATTGCGTTTAATTAACAACAACAACAACAATAACAATAACAACAACAGAAACTGCTTTCAACGCTGAGTCAAATCGAATCCTCCTCGCTGGTTCGCATATTTTTACGCTAGAAAACAACTAAATGATAATCCATGTTCTAGTATGTACTTGTAGTTGTTGTTTGCTGTTTGTATTATTGTTGAATTCATCACCAGCCAGCCAGCCAGCCAGTGAGCCCACAACGTAACGAAATAGCTAATCAACGCATACAAGTACGTTTGCCAATTGATTCCGAATTCGATCGTTAGTTGATTTTTTTCCACCCGAAATCGCATCCGCAAGGCAAACACATTCGTGGCGTTCAAAGCGTATGTACATACATATTCATATATATAAATACTCGTACAGAGTATGTTTTATAGTGTGCGTAGTGCTATCATTGGATAATGTGTTATTATTTAGCCGAGGATCGCTGCCGCAGCCACTGCTGATAAGCGTGCGCGCCACTCACTTGACCCCAACAACAATACACCCGCCCGCGCATTAAAAAATTTCAACAAAAACAAAATACAACGGAAACAAAAAATAAATAAATTTAAAAAGAAAAAAAAACAATAATTATAGCAACAGTAAGACAAAACTGTAAAATGTGGAAAACAGGAGTTGCTGGACAACGCGGATGTGCGGAGATGCGATGGCGATGGTGAAAAAACAAATCAAAACAAAATTTGTATATAAAAAGTTGAAAGCTATAAAATTGTTGTTACAATTATTGTATACACATAGTAAAATGCGAGAATATTTTGCTTTCGTTTTTTTCGTTTTTTTTTTGTTTTATTGTATTTATTTATGCAATAATTGCTCAAAGTTCAATTTAGACACGACTCGCTGATTTGGCGAATGTTCACTGATACCATAAACGTCTGTTTGTAAACAAAAATATACCTAAATTTGTAAGAATATCTTACGCTAAAATCATCCATTTTAGTCTTTGCTAATCCATGTAAATGGTTATCTCAAAAAAAAAAATAGTCTGAACTCTCTAAAAAATGCAGTAAATCAAGATAATGAAAGAAGGCCTTCAAATTAACAGTGCGAAGCATATAAATTGTTTGATATATTTATATATCAAAGCACTTCAAAAAATCATTTTTTTTTATTTTGTTCAGCTCCTCCTTCGAGGTCGTCTTCATCTCGTCACTCGTAGCGTAACGTCGTCCTTCCATGGGCCTCTTCAGTTTAGAGAACAAGAAAAAGTCAAAGGGGGCCAGATCTGGTGAATACGGTAGCTGCGGCATCATTAGTGTGTTATTTTTGGCCAAAATGTCGCGCACAAGCAATGCTGTGTGAGCAGGGGCGTTATCGTGGTGCAAAAGCCACTTTTTGTTTTTCCACAAATCCGGGCGTTTCTGGCGGATTGCTTCGCGTAAATTGCACATAACTTGCAGGTAATATTCCTTATTGACCGTTCTACCCTGTGGCAAGAACTTATGATGCACCACGCCCCTGCAATTAATTTTTTCGTCTGTTGTTGAAGTGCTCGGTCGACCGGCACGCTCTTCGTCGTTCACATCTTCTCGGCATTCGGAGAACATTTTGTACCACCGATAAACGTTGCTTCGGTCCTAGGTAACGGTCCTGTATGCCGCAGTCAACATTCGGAATGCATCCGCGCACTTAATTTCGTTTTTCACACAAAATTTGATACAGGTTCTTTGCTCCATTTTTTTGAATAGGTAAAAATCGAAGACCATCCAAAACACGTGCAAGCAAAGCAGCTGTCAACAATTAAGTGAACATTCAAAATGGCCGAACTTGTCGGCATAAGTGACAGACATGAGTACGAACATAACGTCACAAAAAAATCGAAATTCGATTATACGTAACCCGCGAAAATTCAAAATTCGCAATACTTTTTGAACACACCTCGTATTGCAAATTCATTGTAAAGGGTGCTATTTGGAATAGCCTGTTCGCCAATTCAATTCATTTATTCAGTCAATGATTTACAAATCTTACAGACTAGAAGTACAAATTAATTCAAATCTTAAAATTATATAAATATACTAAGAATAAAAAAACATTGAGGATAGAGCCAAAACGAGATCTCAGGAATGCAAACTCAAAATCGAGGCTTCTTTCTATTAAATTCAGAAATGTACTCTAACAATGGGACCGTAATTGTTGTAATTGGCTTTAACTACATCACAAATAGAACGGATAATGAGAACGCAAAGTTCTATGAGCAAAGTTAAAGCTGATTTGTTCAAGCAGCTCTGCATAGTCCACTAAGCCATTGATGATGTCATAAGTAAATAGTATTGACTGGATAGTTCATCGAAGAAGCAAGAGATTACATATTTATGTTATGTAGCATACAACGAGGAGTATAAGAAGGTAGGGGAACAGAAAAATGAAGCGGAGCAAGAGCAAACCGAATAAACCTAATAATCCCTAATGCTCCAATTATTAAAATCCTTCTGTAAGGGTAAAGCATCTGCAAAACATCGAATGCATTCAAAAAATAGTTTTAGGTCGTCTGCGTAAAGCAGGAAGTTTAAATTCCTAAAGCCAGTTCCAATGTCATTTATAAAAAGAAGAAGAAATAATAAAGGACTAAGAATGCTAGCTTGAGATACCCCAGAGGTGGCTTTAAAGGTATAAGATCTCGCAAAAGACATTATCAAAGGCTTTGGAAAATTCGTTATACACGACATCAACTTGGTATCGCTTCTTGAAAGTTGCAATGCAATAATGAGAAAGACTGACAGTAGAATGACCGCCAACAAAATCGTGCTGGTGCGGTCTAATGGCGCCTTTCACTGCGAAAGACAATTTATCCATTACCAGTTTCTCGAAAAGTTTCGAACAAGTTGATAATTTAGATAAAGGCTTACATAGATCTTTATCGCTTCAATAGTCGTAAATAAAGTGATTTTAAGAAAAACGCGCTTAAAGTTTCGCCATCGGTCAAGCCGCGACAAAGACGGCGGGTTATAAAACTTTCTGATTTCTGTAGTGTCGTCTTGATCGATTTGAAACTTAGGGAAAATATTTCTGACTCTTTTTACTTTTAAACAATACAAAAAATTATCAATAAAATGAATTTTTTGAAGTATCAAGATTTACGTAACCCCTTAAACATCCAACTATTAATGAAAACGCCAGACGACATCGAACGATTAAAAACGTATTTTAAGGGAGCGGAAATAGACGAACTGCACTTTTTAAGTACATAAGAAGAAAACGCGCCTGAATCGCTACGCAAAGAGAGTTTGCCAAGCAGCAATCCCATTCAAAATATCAAATTTAATAACTGAAAGACTACTGAAATCTAAAGTCTGGGAAATTTCCAGCTTATTACAGACGGAAATATCAACATTCCCGACGTAGTTAGATTTGAAAAATTCGGCAAAGAGATTTACGGTATCCAAAGAGCTTTCAGAACTCCTCCCACAGCAAGACAGTAAGACAAGAGGGAATATTGGAACAACCTTTTTTTAGAGCGTATATATTTCCAAAAGCCTATTGAATTTATTTTTAACTACTCCTGAAATCGGATTTGCAAATTGAGCAAGCGCGTTCTATAAGTTCAAAAACTAAATTTTCATCTACAAAAAAAAGACCTAAGATATTATTATTCTTATTCCGAAAATAATTAATTTGAATTAGATTTGCCCTAAACATGCTGTCAATGAAGTCAATTCATCATCAATTTCATTACCATTATTAATGTTTGTTGGTGTTAAAAAAAAAAAAAACCTGTTAGATTTCACTTTCGAAATTGTAATTTTGTGCATTTGACAAATAAAAACTATCCCCGCAACAAAAATGAAACGAATCACGCAACACATCGAAATTATTAAAATTCACCATAAAAAGTTTCATCGAAAAATCATCTTGACTGATTGATTTACAATAGCATGGCTACGTTAAGAAGCAATACTGGCCCAACTTTGGCTCGAAAACCCCAAGATTTATTGTTGAGAAGTCTCTCCATCCTAGACGTGCAACTGTTTGGTGTGGTTTATGGCCGTGTGGGGTCGTTGGATCTTACTTTTTCGAAAATGATGATTGGAAAGCAACAGTTACGGCGAATGAATTAATGCTGATGAGATGATTAAAGATTCTTTATGGAGGGATTTTGATGGCGTTGACCCATTTGCTTTCAACAAAACAGCGGCACAATATACCACACAAGGAATAGATCCATCGAACTCTTGAGGGAAAAGTTACCGGACCGTGTCATCTCTCGAATAGGGGATGGAAATTAGCCACCGAGATCTTGTGATTGAGCACCGTGTGGAGCCGTGGCCGATATTTTCTGTGAGTATGAAAATAACACCTTCTATTAGAGTCATGGGCCGTCAGCAAAAACACTACGAATATGCTTATATTAATATTGAATGACCTTGGAGGTCATGTAACATAAGATAATGCGCTGCACAAAAGTTTTCTTAAATAAATTATTGGTTTCGTTGACTGTATGGCACGTAGCGCCGTCTCACTGGAACCAAAGGTCATCCACATGAAAGTCCTGCACTTCAGGTATGAGAAAGTCTTTAGAAATGGCATTATAGCGTTCTTCATTGACTATAACATTTTAGCCACCTTCAATTTTGAACAAATATGGAACAATGATAACAGTGACTTTTTGACAATGAAACGGTGTCTGAATATTGGTTTGCAGATTATCATCAAAACAGATGCGACAATATTATTTATAAACGCATCCATTCAACAAAATTTGAAGTTTATCGATGAGCAAATTTTTTGGTGCCTTGATCATCTCGTTTTGGGTCTATTCACCGAATGTGCGACCCGTTTGCTGGTCGTTCGGCTTCAATTCTTGCACGAGTTGAATTTTGTAATATCCACTAGAGTAAACTATCGATTTTGCTGGGCGATTATGTCGACTGAATAATCGATGCAGCACGCGATATGTCGCGCAAACCGAATGATTATTTTGATTATAAATTTGTACAACTCGCAAACTTTGTTCCGAAGTAAGTTGGTATATTATGAAATGACAAGCCAAACTGAGTATAAATCAAGTAACAGCTGTTAAAAAGACTAAGTCTGGTAATGATATTGCGTCGTTGAAAAGCACACATCTTCAGAAGTACTTTCTTTTATATAATATCTGGTGTCACAGTGTTTGTAACTCCACCAAAATGGCTTGGCCGATTCTTGTAAAATTTTGCATGTACATTAAGTAGGTCCGACAATAAGACATAAACTATTTTTCACACCAGAAAGTGGACCAATGGTTCAATTTACTTGAAATTGGTCCTTTCCATGAAGTGCAAAATAAATAAAAAATGATTCTAATGGTTAAATCTTTAAATGTGGGACCGGTAAAGTCAATCTC